TTTGTCTGTATTCTTCGGGAGAATGAATTGGACGAAAAGTTATATTTGTTGGTTTATCTGTCTGTTTGTTCGTTAGTCGGTCTCTCTTTACATATTTTGATTGGCTGTCTGTCTCTTTGACTGTTAGTTCATTTACCTGTCTGTCTCTTTTTATGCCTGCTTGTCTGTGTCTTTTTTATATTTGGTTGTTTATTCGTTTTCCTCTGTCTGTTTCTGTTTACCTGCTTATCTGTTTTCTGTCTGTTTTGCCTGTGGTGTAAATTTTCTTAAATATTATTTAATAATGAAGTGTATGTGGGTGATTGTGTGTGTGTATATGTGTACGTGTGTATGTGTGTGTGTGTGTATGTATGCGTGTATGTGTGTGTGTGTGTGCGTGTGTGTGTGTGTGTGTGTGTGTGTGTGTGTGTGCGTGCGTGTGTGTGTGTGTGTGAGTGTGTCTCTCTTTCTCTCTCTCTCTCTCTCTTTCTCTCTCTCTCTCTCTTACTTCTTCTCTCTCTCTCTCTCTCTCTCTCTTCTCTCTCTCTCTCTCTTACTTCTTTATCTCTCTCTCTCTCTCTCTCTCTCTCTCTCTCTCTCTCTCTCTCTCTCTCTCTCTCTCTCTCTCTCTCTCTCTCGCTCTCTCTTTTCCTACCACTCCATTTTGCTCTTCAAAGGCCAATTACTTTCCCATCTGAACTGGGTGTAAAAGACAGGCGTTGTGAAGATGCGTGTATTATAAGTTCTACAGCCCTGTCTGTCTAACTCTGCAAAGTACGTTTTGAAAATTTGAAACGATATGAATTATAATATTCTACAGTGATGGCGGTGATGGTGATGATGGTGAAGGTGATGATGTTAATGATGATGGTAATAATGATAACAATAACAAAAACCAACAGAACCCAAAATGAATAACAATGATAAAATTAGTAAATTATGATAAAGTGATATAGCAGTGATAATTCTAATGATTTCAGCGACCATTATGATGATAATGACAATGATGATAATAATGATAGTAAAATGATTATGATAATTCTACTACTACAAATTTTGCTATAAATGATGATAACAATACTTGATAATATCATTAATGATAATGATGTTGATAGTGGTGATAGTTGCGATGATAATGATACTACCACTACTACTACTGATGTTAATAATAACAGTAGTGACAATAATGCCAGTAATAATGATAACAATAATAGCAATATTGATAGTGAAGATGATAATAGTAATGGTGATGATAATGATAACAATAATAATCATAATGGTTATAACAATGACAATTATTATTATAATATTACTGATGATAATACCGATGATAGTATTGATAATAAAACTGTTAACAATGACCATGATGATAATTATGATTAGGATCATAAGGATAGTAATAATGATAATGATAATTAATAATAATGATAATGATCGTGGTGATAATAGTAATAATCATAACTGTATAGCAATAGTAGTAATAGTGCTAATAATGATGATAAGGGTCATAGGAATAACAAGAGTAATGATAATAATGATAACAATGATAACAATAATAATGATAACAATAATAATAATGATAGTAACAATAGCAACATCAGTAACAACAACAACAATAATGCCAATAATAATGGTTATGATAATAATAATAATGATAATGATTACCAATAATGATAATGATAATAATGATAATGAAAACCAATAATGATAATGATAATTATAATAAAAGTTACAATCATAATAATAATGATAGTAATAGTAATAAGAATGATAATGACGATGATAGCAATAAAAAATATTACGGTAATGATAACAGTGGTAATGATATTAGTAATAGTAATAATAATGATAATGATAATTGATTGTATTCAGTACCGTTTGGCCAAGAGACCACATCCTGGATTTTAAGGAGCTTTAGCCACGTCTCTGTAATAAACACACGTGATAAACAACAACAACGACAACATAATAATAACAATAATAATAATGATAATAATAATAATATTATTATTATTATTGTTATTAATGATAATGATAATCGTAATGATAATATTTGTAATAAAAATAATAATGATAATCGTAATGATAATATTTGTAATAAAAATAATAATGATTAATAATAATATTAGTAACAAAAAATAATATTGATTGATAATAATATCATTAATAAAAATAATAATGATAATAATACTAGTAATAATAATAATGACAATACTAATGGTGATACTAATGATAATAATGATAATGATGATAATAATGATAATGATAGTAATATTGATAATAATAATGATAATAATAATGATAATAAAATTGTAATGATAACACAGAACAGCAGTAATGATAATGATAACACTAAGCACAAAGCACAAATATGATATACATGATATACAAACCAAAATAACAAACCGTGCATACCAAAGCAAACCCACACAGTGCATGACTATTCTACACAGGCAGTCCCCTCCATCAAAAGTCTTATTAACCGGAACTGAAAGCTATGGCATTATACATTTCTATGAATTTCAGGTAGCGCTCCTTTACAAGAAAAAATCTTTCTGTGGCGGGTCCATCATCAGTGACAGAGTAGTCCTCACAGCTGCACACTGTACGGATGGGTAAGTGTTTTTGAATAGGATTATAGGCTATAGACACATAGGGAAATGTATGTACATGAAGGGTCATATGCTATAACGACACACATGCGCACACGTGTTAAGTCTATTTGCACGTAGAAGTGAAGGACTTGTTAATTCGCATTGTGTATGTATGGATGGATGGATTTTGCGTCCAGAAACTCCACCTCTCTCTCTCTCTCTCTCTCTCTCTCTCTCTCTCTCTCTCTCTCTCTCTCTCTCTCTCTCTCTCTCTCTCTCTCTCTCTCTCTCTCTCTCTTTCCTTCCTCTCGCTCTTCTAGAGAGAGAGAGAGAGAGAGATCGTGTAATAGAGATGAACCATGTCCATTACAACAAATATAGAAAAGGTACGAATGAGAATTATTTTCACAGTGCAAAAAATGCATTTTATCGGTTTTGGTTACATCATGTTTTGCTGACGAAGATATAATCGAAACGGGTCAGATACATCTCTGCACTGTGAAAATATTTATTCGCATTCATAACTTTTCCACAACGGCTAGAGAGACAGAGACAGAATGAGAGAACGAGCAGCAATAAAGAAAATAGGACACTATATGCAAACACAAACTAATAACAACAAAGATACGTAAATATATGTAAAAAGATATGTAAAAAAAAGGAACGAGCACAGTCACCGTCACAGAAACGAAAAATACAAAAAGAGCTATATGCAGACTCAAACTAAAAAAAAAAAAAAAAAAAAAAAAAAAAAATATGCAAATGTAAAAAAATGATAAACGAAATCATGGCGTCGCATTACACCACGTACCAAAAGCAGGCATCCCAGCCCCTGCTCGATCTGGTAATGCACTCACACTGGCAATTCAAACATGTAAAGGCAGGAAGTCAAAGATCAAAGGATACATTACGACTGTGTTATGAGCCTCTATCTGCCATGGGCCTAAAAATGTACTCTGGAAAGCTGCGAATTTTTATTTTTTGTTGATTTTTTTTTTATGGTGTTGGGAGGTTGCAATGATGACATGCGGATTTTTTGCTCTCCTTTTGCCTTTTTTTTTCATTCTAAACTGATTGAAATTGGAGGCAGCTTTTGGAAATGGTAATTCAGAGATGATTTTAGTAATATACGTATTTCCACAATGTCATGCTTTATGTATGTCTATTTCATATGCTGGAGAAAAAAAAAAAAAAAAAATTACTGGACAACTTGCGTCTCACATGTCACTCATAGACTGTCAGTTGCCCATCAGCCGTCATTTTTCTTTTTGTTTTTTGAAAAGTTTTCTCATGAATTAAGTAAACTGTCAATCACACCATGTCCACTCATTATTTCACATAGATTATTTATCTCTCCCTCCATTCCACTAAGACCCTCTTTCTGTTATTTATTTGTCTATGTAATTATCTATCTGCCTGTCTATCTCTGTATTTATTTGTCTATTCATCTATGTATCTAATGTATTGCACATAGATATATACCCACGTATCTATCTCTATACCTCCATACTCTGCATGTATTGTTATAAATTCATCCAACTATCTATCTCTATAATACGCATTCCATCCATCTGTCTATCAGTTACTCAATTCATTTTTATATCTATATATCTATATATTTCCGTTGCAGTGGTCTTTAACCTTTTTAAGGCATTAAGTTCTAGCACCTCCTGAATTGTTGAATTATAAAAAAGGCTAAACTACAAATTTGGTGTCCTGTGTCTTAATTACAAAACCATGTTTTTTTTTTTTATTATTATCATTTGAATTGGCAAAGCTTACATTTTTTTGTGTGTTTCTGAGTCTATTGATATGTCTGCCTTTCTAATAGCTAATTCTAATTATCTGTCCAATTGTCTGTCTGTCCAGCTGTCTATCTGGCCAACTGTCTGTATCTCTGTCCAATTCTATATTTTGCACTTCGTCGTCCAAAAAATCATTACCTATTCCTTACAAATTCTCGTTTGGATACTTATTCTTCACAACACATTCCTCACAACCTGTAACACAATCTCTCTCTCTCTCTCTCTCTCTCTCTCTCTCTCTCTCTCTCTCTCTCTCTCTCTTTCTCCCTCCCTCCCTCCCTCCTCTCTCTCTCCCTCCCTCCTTCTTTTTTTCTCTCTCTCTCTCTCTCTCTCTTTTTCTCTTTTTTTCTCCCTCCCTCCCTCCTCTCTCTCTCTCTCTCTCTCTCTCTCTCTCCCTCCCTCCCTCCTCTCTCTCTCCCTCCCTCCCTCCTTCTTTCTTTCTCTCTCTCTCTCTCTCTCTTTTTCTCTTTTTTTCTCCCTCCCTCCCTCCTTCTCTCTCTCTCTCTCTTTCTCCCTCCCTCCTTCTTTCTTTCTCTCTCTCTCTCTCTCTCTCTCTCTCTCTCTCTCTCCCTCTCTCTCTTTCTCCCTCCCTCTCTCTCTTTCTCCCTCCCTCTCTCTCTTT